GCCCTCCCTTCACCCCCTCCACCCTTCCCTATTTACGAAGACTTTGTTTCCGTTTTTTAAATTAAAAGCAAGGCTAGGCTGAAGGCAATCTGTCATTTTTATTTTCTTTTACTTGATTTCTATTCATGGTTTAGTATATACCTTTAAAAAATAAGAATGTGCTGGTTGTCATATAAAGAGACTATCTTTTTTAAAATTCTGAATTGATACTGATAATTACTTTACTATGCACTTATCATTTTTATAATCTTCAAGGATTGCTACTTACATATTTGGAAATTAAAACGGATGACATTAATTCATCTTCCGAAGTGTAGATGACAGCATGTTGATAGGTAAGATACAAAAAGGGTCCCTGATTAAATGCTTTAGAAATACAAAGTAAAGTGCATTTAGGCAGATTTCTTTTCTTCAGATTTCTGAGAGGTTTTAATAAATTCACATGTATTATGAAACTCCAAAGGGCACCAGAACATCCAGTTTCTCAAAATTACTCACCCAGGGAGTCCATTCACTAGGAGAAATGCTCCTATACCATTGCATTTTTAGTGAGCTTGTGGTGTATTCTTAGTACTGTTTCAGCATTATACAAATAAGCATATGGGACATCATGGGTTAGTTGTTAGAATATTATTCTTCAGGTGGTAGTTAATTCCAGATTTTTTTTCTTGAGCTGTATCTATATTTAGAAACATCTCTTGTCGGGTGTAGGGTGTACACTATGCTCTTATAGGAACCTATTAATCCTCCTTCTGGGTCCTGAATGTTTTTGCAAGTATTTGCTTTTCATTGGATTTATCCACTAGGTTAGGCAGGAACTAATGCCTTACTTTGTTTTTGGCAACTTGAACAATATCTTGCACACACAAGACACTCAGATACTTTGTTTTCAAAGAAATTACAGCTACTAAATTTCAAAGCAAGGAAGAATGTTGATTCATGGGTAACATCCTCTAGTCAGGTAACCCAAAGCTTTCTCACCTTTTAGATTTTGATAATTTATCATTGACATATTGGAGGGACTGTGTCCCACATATGTTTTTCTTTGTTAGATTAGAATTAACTGACAATATAAACCTGCTTGATGAGGTGGAGGTAGGATGAGAACAGGATATGATGAGAACCATGTGGGCCATGTGTGTGCATACAGACAGCACGAGCACACATGTGAGTGTCATGGTTCCCCACGGGACACACATGGCTCATGAGATTCACAGAGTAAGACTAGTCTGGATTTTGATACCTACTTGAGCCAAAATCACACTATAATAACTTAATTCTTTCCAATAGTCATAGTAGTGTCATTTTACCTAAATTAAAAGATAAAAGATAAAATTAATTGACTTCGAGTAAAGATTTTTAAATCAATACATTCATATTTCTGAAAAATGGTCTTAACAAAGTAATATGAGGAAGACATTTAATTACATCTCATAGCAGTCTGGGAACTCTTCCCATTTAACTACTGAGATGGTTAATTTTAAGTGCCAACTTGTCTGAGTGAAGGGACACCCACCCAGATGGTCAAATACTGTTTCTGGGTTGTGTCTATGAGGGTGCTTTTTTGTTGTTTTTCCCCCCAAGATATTGGCTTTTTATTCTTGCGCTACCTAGTTTGTATTTACCCCACTGATCTGTAAGGACATTTTAAAAATTATTTTTCTTGGTACATTTTAGGTATACAATATAATGACATTCATCATTGGAGATTTGCACCTTTACAAAATATATTTTGATTCTCATTTTTCCCCATTCCCCTGCCCTCCCTTCAACCCCTCCATCCCTCCCTATTTACAAAGACTTTGTTTTTATTTTTTCATCTTCTCATATTAATTCCATTCCCCTCTTTCCTTTCCCCTACCCCTCCCACTTCCCCTTCCCCTCTGCACCCTTTTTTCCTATTTCACCTTATCTATTATACCTTTTGATCCTTATTTACAGTTTCAGTTTCTTACACCAGAGAAACTATTCAGTATTTACACATGTGTCCTATTTATCTCAGTATGGCCTCAATGTGAATCCATTCAGCTACAAATGTCTCTAATTTCTCACTCTTTATGGCTGAGCAGTACTCCATTTTATTTAAAAAGCCACATTTGCTTTATTCAGTCTCCAGTTGATGGGCAGTAAGTTTAGCACTGGAATTGGTAGACTAAATAAAGACAATCAACACACAGGTGCTAAGAATTAGCCAATCCAGTGAGAACTGCAATGGAATGAAAGGGAGGAGGAAGTACTGACTTGATCTTTCTGTGTGAGCTGGGAAGTTCACCTTCCCCTGCCTCGGGATACTGTGGGTATCCTAGACTCACACTGAAACTTACACCATTGGATCCCTGGGTTCTCAGTCCTTGGGTTTGAACTGAAATTACACTGCAAGGCTTCCAACTTGCAGCCAGCTAATGGTGGGATTTCTCAGGTTTCCCAATTTTGTGAGCCACTCTTTCATAATAAATCTTCTCTACAAATCTCTCTCTATACTTTTAGTTCTGTTTTTCAAAGAATGCTGGCTAATGCCATTACAAATTCAATGTTGGAAGGGCCTGAGGACAAATTGTCAATTTCTGTCTCCAAATTACCCAAGTGCAAAGCTCTACTAATAAATTAGCTGTGTGGAAAAAAAAAATCTGAAACCGAAATTATGTGCCAACTTCAAAGATTTTAAAATGTCACAATTTGAAGGCCTCCAAAATGAGAGACTAGTGCCATGTTTGTAAGTTCACGCAAAGTACAAATAAATTGCATGCTTGTAAACAGGTGCTTGAGAAGGGCACAGCATCACATGTATCTTACTCATTTGGGCAACGAAGAACTTCCTGTGTATTCTCTCTCTCTCTCTCTCTCTCTCTCTCTCTCTCTCTCTCTCTCTCTCTCTCATGAACCCAGGGCAAACACTCTACCACAAACTGACATCCCTAATTCTTTTAAAAATGTTCTAATTCTGAGACAGAATGTCACTAAATTGCCCAGGCTGGCCTTGAACTTGGAATCCTCCTACTTAAGCCTTCAAAGTAGCTGGAATTACTAAGTATCCACTAACATGCCTGGCTTTTTGTCTTCTAGCTAAAATTATTTAACGATTCAGTCAGAATAAATGTTCTCCTCTCAAATAATTTCTTTACTCCATTTTTCATCTAGATTTTTTTCCTCTCACTTTTGAAGTCTTCTCCTTTTATTATGATTTAGGGCACAGAAATGCTAAGCTTTCCTTCTTGTGTCTGGGTTTTTGTTTGTTGGTTGAATTTTGTTTTGTAATTGGATTGGACTGATATTGACCATTGTTTTAAAAGGTCTTATATTGGGCAGGGGATTTAGCTTATTGGCACTGCACTTGCCCGGACAGCGCAAGGTCCTGAGTTCAATCCCTGGTACCCAAAACAAAACAAAACAAACAAAAAAAGGTCTTATAAAGGGACTACTTCCTTTCCCTTTCATTGAACTGGTATATATGTTGCCCAAGAAAATTGATACTTTAGTGATTTCACCTCTAAGTCCTTTACTTTGCCTACTTTAAAGTTTATAGAGTGAGACCTAATGGCCCCAATTCATTACCTTCCATGTACCTTCATTACTTTTTGTTCTGTGACTTTGCAGTTTCTCTGACTTAAGAGATGGAATCTCTTTTTCATACTTAGCCTTGTAATTTCCTTTGATGAACAGAATTTGGCTGAAGTGCTGATGTTTTGGGTATCAACGAAAACCTCCATTCATGTGTCCAGACTGCTGCATACCAGGTGTGCGTGAGAACACATCAGGTCAGCCTGAAGTGCTTGAAAGAATGCGGCTGAGCTTCCTCAGGGCCCCTGGGCTTGCCACCCCACATCAGTCAAATGCCATTCATCCCTTCAACGTGGGGGCAAACTCAGCACCATCAGTGGAGCCCTCAGGTAGCCCAAGGCTCACCATGAACGTGTGAGCAAGTCCAGCTGAGATCACAAGAATGCTTCCTGGGCCAGCTGAACCCCCGCCCCATGAGCTAAACAATGCTTCTTCTGGGGGCTTCATGGCTGCCATGTGACATTATGCGGTAATAGATAACTGATGTCACAGGTACTGGATATACTGTGACTGTGATTGTCTCCTGGCCGCCTCCATATCAGGCTCATTCTGCCCACTTAACTGCACATAAACACAAGCTGACGTTATATGTCAATGAAGTCTTGGACCATATTCACAGGTTTAAGTAAGGTGTTAGTGTTGTTTTACTGCATTTTCTTTAAGCTCTCAACTAGTAAAATTAGAAAGGTGTCTAGAAGAGTTAGTCTACTGAAATGATGAATGTGGGAGATAGGGTATCCAACAGGATAAACTACATTCTCTAAATAAAAATACTGCAATGCTGTATAAGCAACTGAAGGCTCAGCAGAAAAACAAATCCTTTTCATTTGTTCTCACTTCCATTTTCAACTATATACATAGTAAGTTGCTGGAAGCCAATTGTTTCCTTAGGAATTCTTAATGAGAATATTACTTCTTGGTGTCAAGATGTTTAAAATGTTAATGCATCAGAATGTATCAGGTTTCTGTTAACAAATTATACTTCAAGGGATTTTTCTACTTCACATAAAACTTTTTAGAATCAAGTAACATGATTCTTGACACTGCTTCCTATTGGATGGCTTTAGAAATTGATGATGGCTACACTCCAGGACACAAACAAAAAGCACATATGCTGAAAACCTAAGGCTAAGAGTGGATTTGAAAGCATAACCAACTAAATGCCAGTAACTTCTAGTTGTGAAAATGAAGGCTCAGTAGGCTTTATGTACATGTTTTTAGCATCGAACATTTTTTCCTATCAATAAACTTTTGATCTGCAAAGGAAATTAAGAATTACACAATTATATGCATGTGTAAAAGAGAAGAAAGTGAGAATGAGAACAAAAGGAGAATGGATTAGTGTGTATGAGAGAAAATACAGTATAAAAGCGGTCTTTCCAATTTCATCAATGTACATTCCAAGATGACATTCTGACAGTGAACACAGCAGAATATAAAGGTCATTCTGTGTTAAAATTACTTTTATTCAGGATGAAAAATACAACATGTAACCAGATTAGATGATATTCTATGATTAGCTTTTTACCACATATTTCAAAAGAACAATATACTTATTTCCCATTGTTGCTACTGTAATATATTTCTTTTTATTATTATTTAGAAGGTTACAATGTAGTGTTTCATGTAGCTTTTCTGTAATAGCAGATAGAGAACATCTTGCGTACAAATACAGGCAGAAAAAATTAACACATGACTTCTCAAAGTAATAACAAGGAAAACACCAAATCTACAACCTGGAGTTCAGCGTTCCGGGAATTTTTTTTTTTCATTAAATAGGTGCTTTCTTGGGTATCATATGGCCTGATAAAAGCTCTACACTTTGCAGACTGCAGCGGCATAAAGCTGTTTCCAACAGGATGGAGGAAGATGGATTTGAGGTAGAAAGGTGGTCAGTCATGGCTTTCCTCTTATATAAAACATTTTTCTTCTTCTCAAAATATCTATGCTGCAAATAGACACCCTTTCCCCCCAACCCACCCAAACTATTCTAAAAGAATAACAATTTCTAACTTCAAGCCTCCTTCTTGGCCAAATCTCAGTGAAAGAGAACCCAAAGTTACAATGTCCTGATGTTTTAAAAGCAGATGTGCTTGAATCAAAACACATTATTTTCATTTTTATTTTTGGTTTCACTACATTTGGTAATTACGTAAAATGTTTTCAATGAATCCATTAAATGTTAAATAAAAGAATGGGACCATATACCTAAATCGAATGCACGCAACGGATGAGCCAGTGGTACAACCATCTAAGCATTAATTTCATTCTTCGGTAGAAGTTGTGGCATGGGCGTTTGAAAAACATCTTTCCCAAATATACTGATCAAGTGACAGGAATTTAAGACATCTGTTCATCCATCCAAAAGGTAAAATGACACATGCACTAAATTTGTGACTGCTCTCAGAAAGAAAGCAACTAGAAGTCACAAGATTTATACAGGAGTTGAAAATACAAAAACAACAATAAAATTCTCTTTAAAAGGAACTCAAGACAATGATGTGCTCGTGTCTCGTGGTAGGTAAAGGTCTGCTGTGTATTTTATGATAAAAATCAAAGACCCGCGGATAGGAAACGTACCAAGTTTTGTTTCTGTGTCAAAATAAAAATGTGCTTACATGGGCAAACTTTGGTAAAATGATCTTTGAGATTATTATAATGCACTCAATCATATGGACTGGGGTGTGAAATAAATAAAGAAATCAAGACCTACTTACATAGAAAAAGGAATAAAAAGTGGGGGAAATATTCTAATAGACATGCCATTTAGGCCCACATGATTTTTAACGCGGTTATCACTAAAGAAATAAGTGTATGATGTCAAATAAAGTTAAACAGTATACTCAGAGCTGTTATATATACATATATTTATATATATGTATATATATATATTAAATATTTGATTGAAATGTATGAACTTTCTAATTTGGCCAAATTATGGGAACAAATACATGGAATCCATTTGGTCATATAGGTGATGAATTATAAATAACCAAACAATGGTAAAAGAGTCAAAGAAATAAACAAAGTCATTGTACAAGGTTAACAGGAGCAGCAGAAGGAATGTAAAAATGTGAAGTGATCTTCTAATTCTTATGAAATGTTTGTCATGGGTATTAAAAAGACAGAATCATATTAGAAAGCCCCCACCCACCTTCCCAATGCCGTATACATTATACAAATCGGTGACAAGTGTATTACCATTTCCAAATACCTCTCTGTTCATTAATTTACAGTTGCATAGAAAGGGAAGAAGAAAACAATAATATATGGTTGATATAAAAACAAAATATCCTTTTCTCTTTGGAGAGTCAGTGTTTTACTCCTTCAGTAGAACACACAGCCAACGCTCAACAGCATGTGTCAAGGAGGCATGGAGCTTCAGGTTAAATGGAACTTGGAATTGGCATTGCGAAGAAAAGGGAAACACTGGCTGTCAGGAAATGTTGGCTGGCGGGTGAACACTTCACATGGCCTGTGGGAGGGGAAAACAGCACTGTCACAACATCTGCATAGAGCACTCCACGTGGCATAGGCCTATCAACTTCTTGAAGAATTAGAAGTGCATCTGTCTGAACCAGGCTGACCTCATTTGGCTATGTTCAAAAGGGGCCCTAAATTCTCATGTGACTTTTGCTCCCTGGGATGAAGTCCTTCTTACCCTGCAGCCACCCAGTGTGCTTTTTATGACTGCAGATATCAAAGAAGAAAGTCTGGATGTTTTTCCTCTTGCTCAGGCTGAAACCAAGTTAAAATGGAGAGCACCTGGCTTCTTCTTGGAAAAAAGAGCAAAGGCAACTGAATGATACAAGTGGGAGGACTGTGACAGGGTCTCCTACAGAAGAAGCACCCTGACAACTCCAATCTGTCAAACTCAAGATGGGGTCAAGAGAAAAAGAAGAGAAGACAGGAATCAAAAAGCCAAGGGTGGGCAGAGATGCCCATTAAACGTAAAATGTCCCAGGCAAGAGGATCCAAGCCTCAGTAGAGGGAGTGAGTGGTATTAACCCTTCCAAGGAAAGGTCAAACAGTTGGTTTCTTAAACGTATTTTGAAGTTAGAAACATTTTAAAAATCACTACAAAATAAAATCATCCAAACGGGACTATGCCTCATAAATCATGAGGAAACTTTCAGGACTTCCAGTAAAGGCACCCTGTCTGTCTGGGCCTTTTATTTTGTGGAGGACTTGGCATGAAGTCTTGCTCCTCTGGACATGTGTGGCTAAAGAAGTTGCTGGAAAAGCTGCCCAAGTAGCACACTTCCCAGGGTGACCAGAAGTAGCACACTCACTGGACTCTGGAGCCTGGAGTGTCTTCTGCATAAAGCACGATTCTGTATTCCATGTTCTGAACCCTTCATTGTCATGTCAGCAAACACTGATGGCAATGTTCACTGAGTTCCAAGCATGTGTTAGCTTCCAAGGTACCGAGGTGAGAGAGCCTCAGCGTGATACAGGTATGTGAGCTATCTCAATAGTAAACATAATTCCTTTCTAACATGGGATCAGTCCAACCAGAGTAAATTCTATGTATTTTGGGAAGAGAGAATGAGAGAAATCAATTCCACTTGGGAAAGGTACTTGTTACATATTAATATTGATAACTAACTCTTTCAAGTCAAAATGAAGGCTTCAGGAATTTTTTATTATTTCTATATTTTCTATTATCCCTGAAAATTGGACGTGTCTGTTCAATAAGTGCACAATAACTCATTTTAGATCTCAGAATTCTACAAATTTATGACCACACAGTATAAGCAGTAGCACAACTATCCAGAAGAAAAGGTACAGTTTTCATGAATTTCCATTTGACCCAAGGTGTGGAAAGAGGGAAAAGGAAACAAAGAAAAACACTGTGGAAGAAAAGGAGGAAGGAGCCAGACATTTGTTCTATCCACTGAGTTACTATATTGGCAGGAACAATTTAGATCTTCGCAGGCTCAATTTATTAAAATCTAAAAACAAAGTAGGACTTACTATCCCTTTCTGCTTTAAATTCTGAGCACTTGTAAAGTATTTGAGGATTTACTCTCTCCCTTCCCCACCCTCCATCACTCGCAGGCTCAGCAACACTTCCGGATCATCTGCCCAAAATGCTCCAGATTCTGGTCACACTTTCCTCTGCTGCACTGTGTTCCATAAAGAGATCTGCACTCCCCACAGTGAAACCTCTCCTCATTGCCCTCTGGACCATGGCTCCTCATCAGAAAACTCCCATTCTCACACTGGACCATGAATGCTTCCTTCCCAGCTTGCTCTAACTGCTATTAAGATCTCCCTGAAGACACAGCTTGACAATAACCCTAAAAGTCACCTAGGGCTCTTTCTCCCATATTCCTCACACACTCAGGAATCTCTTCCTAGACCTCCTCAAGGCAATTCCTTCTTTCTCTTCTCCCGAAAAACACCCATTTGAATAATGTGGCAGTCAGATGAAAGCCCATTCATGATGCAGTCATTCACTGACCCCTTGAGTTATGTTCCCTTTCACTTCTTGAAGAAGGGATAGCTCCACGTGACTCACGTGAAAGCTACACCCACACAAACGATTCTGCCAACACCCTGGCCTCTCAGTTCTTTGAGCTCCTCTCTTCCAGTGATCCTGTCCTCTTCTTTTCTTACCTATCTCCTCAAATGTGGACCATTACCAAAACCTGTGACTCCTCCAACATTTCAATGTCAGTTATCCCTCCTTCTGACAATCACCTCTTCCTTTTCATCTTACTTTGGCCAGAATGGCAATTTCATCCACTCTCTGATTTTATAATTCATACATCTTTGCCTCTTTCCATTTCTCATTTCTTTCACCATTGAACTGAAGGTGCTAGTTCAATCATTATAATCATTTCTTTGCCTGTTCCCTTAAATTGCTCTCCTTGGTTGGCTAAGCCACAACAACAACTTTATTAAATTAAGGGCAATCCTCGGGCTACTCTTGTGCTTGTTTATGAACCTGCACGTGGTTGTAAGTCAACATTTGACCCTGCAGACTTGCCTGTAAAATTCATGACATATTAAGAGGTGCCCTTTAATGCAGTCTGCTCCTCATACTGTATTTCTGGAAGCATCTTCCCTCCAGTTCTCCAAGCATATTCTCCATTCTCTCTTCACACTTCTGACACCACCTCCCCCACCTCTCACTCTGCTGACATCCCAGCTTTTAATTCACTAGGATGACAGGAGCACTCAGAAAAAGATCTCCACAGGCTCTCACTATGGCATTACTATGCTACTTCACACGCCCCTTATCTGCTAGCTAAGAACCCAGCTTCTTTTGATAATGTGTCAGTCAGAAGGTTCATTGATTCAAAATTACTAAGAAGTGCATGGAAGAAAATATTCTACCCAGAAAGATGAACTGTGGCACATTATTACCAAGAGTACCTGCTTAGGAAAATACTGAAAAACAAAAGGCTAGAGCTACCAACAGATCTCAACAAATTTTTAAGCAAGAAACATTTTCCCCCTTGAAGTAACAATCTTTGCACCATTACTTTGGTATCTGTCACTTTTTTGTTTTCAATCCATGTTCTGTGATAGCTACAGACATGGGAGAGAATGGTCAGCCAAATTAATATGGTAACTTTATATAGAATATAACATGATATTAGAACACACAGGATCAAATGTACAGGCACAGTATTTTTGATCTGGTTAGGAACTCCCCTCCCTGGCCCCTCCAGATTGACAAATTTACACAGAATCAATTTACAATTTAAATGTCAAACAAGTTTACTTATTTGCATAGAGAATGGAGTAGGACAAAAATCAATGGTAGCTAGTCTGCTTACTCTGGGTTGGATCAGCAAGAATTGAGCCAATCAAGCCATTAAGTCTTACCTGTGGTCTGCTGGGGACATTTGCTGAAAAAGAAAACAAAAGAAATCAATTGAGGGTCCTATTGTTGCTTCCAGCTTTCATGCATGCAAATGAATGTATCACTCTAAGTAGGACAATAAATCACTGTTAAAGGGAAGCTCAAGGAAAATAAGAAACAACTCCTCCACTAGTCCCTCAAGGCTTCAACAAAGGCTAGTTTTCCTATTTAATTTCTTATTATCACCTGTGATTTAAAATACAAAAGTTCCACCCAAAGTATGCTAGCTCTTTTAAATAAATATGCACTAAAACATTCAGTGATCACTTCATTTTGCAAAATATCTCAAAGTTTCCTCTTTAAATTATGCTGTGTACTTGGTTTATACATCAGAACAAAACAAATTCTGTATATTTTACTGAAGAGTACAAATTCTGACCAACAGACCCATGGGACAATGACTCTTTGGTTTCTGTCACGCTTCGCTAACCCTTGCCTGGAAGTTGTAGGTAGATGGTGCACCAAAGGGCTACCTCCTCCTCAACAGCCTTCAGCTAACAATAATGTCTTTGATGGGCCCAGTAAGAGCATCTAATTAGCCCTTGCATCCAGGTTCTTCAATTTCTTCCCTGTTCCACATCCCACAAGAGTAAAGCTGAGCTGACCTGGTGGGCTTTGTGAGGGCAGTGAAATTTCATCCAAGGTCTCTACTTTTTCACCTCCCTCTCAATCACAATCACACTGAACACAAGGAGGGAAGGAGGAGTGCCATTACAGCAACATCTGTTCTTGGTCAAATAAGAATTTTTTTTAACCAGTCTACTGCACTCTCATTTCTCTTTGGCAAAACTGGGGGCAGGGCATCAATGACCGCACACTGGGTAGGAGTTACTTTGTGAAGAAAAACAAGAAGGTGTGAAGTAGAAACTCCCCATGATGCTTGGAGGGAAAGAGTGAGTCCCTGTGTTTGGGGGAGAATCACACTGAAGCAAGCCAAGCCCTGCCAGATATGTAAGCTACATCACACAAAAAGAGTAGACTTTCATATGCATGCACGCCACACCCCAGGGATTCCTGGGTGGAATTATTACCAAGTTCACTCTTTCTAAAAGAAGCAGAGATGTGCTTCTCTTGTAAGTAACAAATGTGATAGCCAAACCCTAGACACAACTCTAATCTATTTTGCTCCACACCAATACTTTTAACCTTACAAGTTATTATCAAATAAAAGGTTATAGATGCTCCTCTGGACAAACTTATAAATATATATTTAAAAGAAAATCAAGAAATCATTGCTTTTCAGTAGGCTTTGAGTTTTTGATGATTATCACCTAAATTTAGCAAACATGGGCAATTCACAGCGGAAACACTCCTGTGGAATAACGGTAATTTAAAAAGCATTTGTTGGTCTATCAGCAAAAACTACTTGGCTTACTACCACCATCCCATGTATTTCAAGGACTTAAATGAAATAAAAGGGAGAAAATATTTTATACTAATAAAAGAAATCGTTATAGCAGTCACTGGAAATTTTAGTGTGTACATTACTTATTTGGCAATATAATTAAATTCCCTTCATTAACTTTACCAGAATGACATGCCAACACCTGCCCTGCTGCTCTGAAATTCAATATAATTTTTAAAAGATTGTAAAAGGCCATAATCCAAAGAAGCTATGACAACCAACTAGGATATTAATTCAAGATGGAGGAATTCTAAAGTGCTACATACAACACAGTTAAAACAAAGTTATGCTAAATTAAGCAATCCATGCAATTAGGATCATGAATACAGTTTCGTTTTAATTCCATGATTACCAGGAGTGGAAATTCATTTGTGGCCATGTTAATTTTTAATACAAAAGGGACAAAAGTCAAAATGAATGTGCAGGTCAATTCATCCCACGCTGGTGACAACCAGTTTTAAAATTATCATTAGTTATAGGGGCTCGAGAGATTGGCTTGGCACTGGGCAGGGGCCAATCCCATTTGTTTAGATGAATCCTCAAAAAGTGGTCAGTAAGCCTTGGGAATTGTGAGGCATTATTAAAAGATTTGCTAGGTGAGCCATGAGAGGAGCACTAAAGCAAATGACTTCTACAGCACCTTCTGACTACTATCTGGGAACATTTCAACAATTCCCAGTTTGAGAATTTAATCACTCATTAATTCATCCTGCTTTCACTTCAGAAATATATACAAGTCTATGCCATGTACCGATTATTATGCATCCATTTAAAAAGATTTTAAAAGTTTAGATAATTTAAAAATATGTATCAATTTCATAAACCAATCAATTAAACTTTTTAAGTGGAAACTGTCACTACCTTGGAGATTTTTATGTTATCAAAGCAAAATATGAATATCAAAAAGAGAGAACTAAATCCAAAGTAACAGCACAACTTTCAGAAGTTGTGCTTCCTATTGTGGTATCTCAGGGCTCCATCAGCTATTCCCTGAACCTTGATAACCAATAATATTCCCAATCAACAGGAATTTTATACTTGTATTTAAAAGGGGAAGTATAGCATGAAATAAATCATTTACCTCTTAAGATTCATTTTCTTCTCTACAATTATCTATTTTTATTTGTTTTCTGTTATTTTACTCATAATTCTTTATATATTTTTTAACTGTATTCTTAAAAGTACTTTAGAAAATGAAAGAATCTTAAATTTGTACCACAGAAATTTTACTTGGAATAATCCATTTTATATAAATTATAAGGTAATATTTAAACATTTTTTGGCTTTCACTGCCAATTGATTTTTAAATTGAAAATGTCCACCATGACATTTAAATAAAACCTTCTAAACAGAATTCAATTTACAAAATTTGTTCTTTAATAATCAATGTATTTAGGTGTGAGCTGAACTAAACAGCAATATCTTAAAAATTTGATTTTGAAACTCTGACTTATGAGAAGTAGGATGAGGTTTTGTCTAGACATTAAATACTGCTCAGAACCCAAACATCTAAAACAAAGTTCAGTCTTGAATGATAATATAAAAGATTGAATCTGTTTCTCTATTAAGGTGGTTATATAATCCAAAAAGTAAGCAACAGGGCCGGGGATTTGGCTCAGTGGTTCCGTCACCTGCTGGGAAAGCGCAAGGTCCCAAGTTCAAACCCCAGTACCACACACACACAAAAAAGTAAGCAACAATCTAACAGCATGGAGGCAGCAATTGGCTTTCTTTTGATTCTAGAGTCAAAAGTGTGTATGTGTGTGTGTGTATAGGTATGTGCATTATGTGAGTGTGTTTGTGTGCATACATATTCATGTGTGTGCTTTCTGGGGAGTGAGCGTGGGGACTGATAGACATTAAATGTAATCACACAAACTTTAAGAAGCACAGTATGAGAATTACAAATGAAAACCTGAGAAATGACATGCTTGCAAATATAAAAAGATGTATTTATGAGCTTGTGCAAATGATAATATACCCTTTAGGCTCAGAGTCTTGAAAAATACAGAGAGAAATATACTTTAAATAGTTTAAGTCCTGCTATTGATGGCATATGCAAAACTACAGAGTGGTATAAAGGTAAATTTTGTGATCACATCACTATATCTTATTTAACTCTGCTACTGATAATTGATAATATCTTTCTCTTCATTTAGGATGTATTTTCTACAGAGATGGTAATGGCAGAAATAAGTGAAAAGAGAGGGTGTGATTCTTTTATAAAGCCTTAGGTTAATGTCTGTCTAGGTTTAAAATCAGTTTGGGAGGATATTACCCAAATTATAAATAATAATTTCATATTCTTTGAAAGATTATTTACAATATAATTGTATCAGTAGCATGTATCTACATACAAAGAGACTTTCAATTTGAAACTGTGGAGGTCTTTCAGGTGAGAGCTCAGCAGAAATTGCAAGGTGGCAAAATGCCCAAAACAAAACATTTGGGAAAAATAATCAATAAATTAGAACCATTATATAATTTCTCCTGGGATCTGGAGCATTTTTATTTGGTGATTTTCTGGCTCTAGGTTGCTCATATGGAAAATTCATAGAGTCATAATCTGTGATGCCTTAAATTACTTGGCTTTTACACAATGATTAATTTATCCCTTGAAAAAAGAAATCAGTCGAGAAAAAAAGAGGAAAATCTGAAAATAATCCTTTTCTGCCCTAGAATCTGATGACATCCAACAACAATGTCTTGAAGAAAAGAGAGGGAATTACACTTGAAAGGCTATTTTTCATGCCTTGTTTGGCATGCCACTAAAAGCTGTCCTTTGAAGGAATACCAGTTTCTTATGATAGCTTGCATTGAAGAGAATAATTTCTTTTTAGAATAAGCTTGCACTGAAGAGAGTAATTTCTTCTTAGAATCGGATATTATTTATTTGCTTTCATTTTACCACTTGTAAGGCATATTGAAAAATCTCAAAGAGCGGGATTGTGTTGTCACTACACCCCAGGGATGTGATGGTATCTAGTTTGAGCTACATTCTCTTTGTCAAAATATATAATGTTTGCCTTATTTTCCAATAATACCCAACGTTATTTCTAATATCAGCGTTTGCTATCTTGCCAGAGAAGACAAAGGGCTATTTGTGGGAAAAGGGGAAGGGCAGGAAAAGTATGGGGGTGTTGGGATGGCCTCTCATACTCACCACAGCAAGATGGAAATGTGTTGTTGATCTGCTCCATGACCTCTGTGAGGTCTGTGTCAGTGTCATGGGGTGGGGCCAGCAGGTCCTCTGCCGCTGGGACAGCACAGAAAAAACAACAACAGACCTCCTGAAATTAATGTCCAGCTTTCCAAAACTCAACATCAGTATACCATACTGTACCCAGCCTCAGCATATCAATGGGAAATGGGTTCTCATTGAAAAGGACACATTCAGGAGGAAATATCAAAGACATTTTTGCATTCATTTCTTGGTAATGTTATCCTACACAATTAAAACGGATTAATAGTTTGTGTAGAAACAATCTACGCATCAAGGGAAACAAGACTGAAAAATAAGTAATGTAGTCACTGAGCTCTATGTCTTACTTGGAAATCAATTATTTTGCATGACAAGTATTTTTTTCATACAAGTAAAATAGTCTATCAATTTCTCTTCCCTTCTTTCTTTTAGCAGTGTGGGCTAGCTTATTCTGTCACAAAGTAAACGTCTGTGATAAGATATTCCACAAATAAATTAATCTAGTCACATTCTACAGTCTTCCATAGAATTTCAGAAACTGAATTTCAAAATGTCATCCCTGAACACCTAGAGAGTCCTTCCTGGCCTGAGTGGCAGGTCCTCATGTGACTGCTGACGGTCTTGGATGGGACCACTGCCTCAAATGACAGAACAGGAAATGTCTACTGGGACTAGGATGGATAAAACAGATGAACGAGCTCCCGGACCTTAGGAGGGAAAAACCATAATGTTTGCTGTAATAGCCTTTAATATTATGGTCTGAACACAAATGTAGAAATTTTAGAGACATTTATTTTTTTAAAAAAAGAACCTTCTCAAAGCAAAAAAATTTAATTTCTTGTCCGTTCCAAAAGCAAAGAGCATTTTTCATTTTTCACTGAAATCCAATCCACTCCTACACACCATATAAGCCAGTACATTGTAGCTTATTATCCTAAAATATTTGCTTTCTTTGATATTGTTAAAATGGTGTTGTACTCATCTCAGACTGCAGAGAACACTCTCGTGTGCTTTAAGGCTTCTACGTGTGAGAATGTGACTTAAAATGAAAAGCAAACAAGTGGCAAAGTACAAAGAAACTGGGTACATGGCCCGGGGACACTGACCTGCTTGGTGGAACTGCTGGCCTGGGTCTGGGGCCAGTGCGCAGCTCAGTGCAGAATGCTGCGGCGAAGCCCATGGGGAGACACCATTGATTCGGGAATCAGATTCTGGCTGGAATCAGAGAAAGGAATCAAACAACCCTGAAGGACAGCAGTTCCCTCTTAACTTCCTGTTCCTCACCATGGGTATTCAATGAGAGGAGTCTGCTCTCAGGTATTTCCCGAAACCTGTTAGCATCTGCTCGGTAGAGGCACTAGTGCTTCACTTGAGTTTCAAGTGGGTTTCTCCTTCCATGTTGCACCTTGAAGAACTCCTTTGGTTATATTTCAAGATTTATTAATGTAATTTTCATCCCTTTATTTTTCTGTTACTTTTATATCAACCAAGGAAATTTAGAAACACTCTTCATTCATCTTTCAAAATTTAACACTGGGCCTCTAATATGGTAAATTTATCAAATTTCAACATTAGCACATATTTAAAAGTAATAAATGGAGAGAGTGGTTGAGTATGATTTTAGATTCAGTTGCCAGTTTCTTGGAGTCACATTGTAATTCTGCCACTCAGAAGTGGTATAATTCTGGCCAAATGATACAACCTTTTGTGTCACAAGAGTCTTTATGTTTAAAATGGATATGATGATAATAGTGCCCATGGCACAGAATTTTGTAAGCAGTGTAGTAAGAATATCTAAAGCGATTTAACACTACCAACACTTTGTATGTGTACTGTTGCATAAATCTTTAGAATGGTGATGGATATGTTGACAAGTGTACGGTAAAATTAGCAAGTGAGATTCACCGTATAGGGAATACACACATCTCATTTTTATGCAGTTTCCCATTAAGTTCATATTGGCTAAAGTCTGATAGTTATGCCTGTTTCTACTATCAGAGTTGAAGTTTTCATCTACTTCTGGCATTCATGCTAAATCGTTAAGAAGAGATAAGTGCTCTATGATCTGGGATATTTGGAGGCATTTCGATATCAGCTATCTCCAAAAGCATTACTGTGCAATTCTAAAGCACATGAGCTATTAGACAGCTCTGTCTAATGGGATGGAGGGAGCAGGGGGAGGGAAAGCAAGCAGAAAGCCTTTAGCCCTCCCAAGCATCAAAAAGCTACAGCAAATAGAGGTTTCAAGCACAGCTTCCTTCCGCAGTGATTCTGTGTATATACAAAGTTGTTAACACTAACACTTCTCATTCTAAATAAAGACAACGCACAAGAAAACTCATCCCTTATTCAGGCACCATTCAGAAACTTCAAATTCATGATACAAGCAAAGCAAGTTTTCAGTGCACATACCTGGCACTAAGGTAAAGAATCAAACATTCTGAGCTCTTAACAGAAAGCTAGGTCTTGGGTCATTTCTTTCTTTTTTTTTTTTTTTTGGTACTGGGGATTGAACTCAAGTCCTTACGCTTGCAAGGCAGGCGGTGGAACCACTGAGCTAAATCCCTGGCCCCTTGGGTGACTTTTGAGGAGCTGCTTTTTCTAGATGCAGAGTTTGGAGGTGCTGAAGTAGACCTTTCACAAAGCCGTGTCACACAACTTCTGAAACAATGGTAGACACAGAGAAAAGTACATAGTAAAAGTATAAGGAGAGACCTGTGGGCCACAATGTAGGTAATGCAGAAATTATAATGTTTCAAATGATTCTGACACATTAAAAGACACTGATAGCAACTGTGACGGGATGGTTTTCTAAAATTTGAGCAAATCACTGGAGAGAGAGTAGCTTCTGCTTTGATTTGATACATCATTTCTGGAGAAAAGCAACTCTATTATATTACCAAGGGGCTCCACAATGCCCAGACTGGAGAAAAAGATAGCAGATGACTTGAATGTTGATGTTAACTCCTTCCTCAAGCAAGGAGTTCCCTGCCCCTCGGCAGGGATTCTATCCTACACAGAGGCGTCTTCATTGCCAGTTCTGAGGCACGACTCCTATTCTTCAAGGCTACGTGTAACCAAGTGTGTCTACATGCTGTGTCTTTGTAGAGGACATGATCCTCTTATATGTACTTGTTATTCATGAGACTGTCTTGTTGTGGTCTCTAACAAGACTGCAGGCGGCAGGAAGGCAGAGATGCTATCTGCTGGTTCTTTTATAAATCAAAGAACAGAGCTTTTTAAAACTGCAAGTTATTACTCACTGAATCATAAAATCGATTTAGTAGGTTCTGACCAGCATTAAGAAAGAAAAGTAATAGCGAAGGGAAAAAAAAGGGAGTGAGAAAGAAAGGAAGGGGTAGGAAAGAAAGAAAGGAAGGAAGAATGGAAAGAAGGAAGAAAGGGGGGAAAATATGAGTGATGGTATTTCTTTAAAAAGGCACATTATTTTGTGTCCATCTTACATATATGGTTTCATCACAATGTATATTTGTCACTGTCAAGAAAGCCTGCAAGCAATTGCCATAAAACTTGGTCCAGTGTTAGAAAAAGACATTAGCAAATTAATAACCACCTGTTCCTGGATTTTCTAAAAATAGAAAACAGTGATTTTGGGCGTGCCCACTCTTGGCTCACTGGAGGAAAGCTTTAGAATGCAGATTTCAGGTCACTTGCTCTCCCTTAATGGCCACAGGTGCTTCCCACATGGCATACGGACAGATGAACATCACAGGATCTTTTCTATCACACTATTCTGAGCTGACATAGATTTCAGTGCAAAAGAAGAAGAAATCAAAACTGGGAAAACACATTTTTTTGTGCCAGTGAGGATTTAACATGTGTGTGTAAAAGGGATTTCTAAGCTAGTCTAGCTGAAACTACGGAGGGGGGAAATTGAAGGTCCACCTCTTTGCTTCTGACATGAGGCCCAGGCCACCAGGAGGGAGGTGACCGCTGGGGCCTGTGCACCCTTACCTGCTCCAGCAGCTGCCGCAGGCGGTGCAGCTGAGACTCCAGCTGTTTATTGTGATCTTCTAAAATCTGCATCCTCGCCTCCAGCCGACCTTTGTGCTGCCGAAGGAGTTTTGCTTCTGCTATAAGCTCTGAGTCCTCTGCGGTGTGATGGGGAGATACAATCGAGTCTGGAGGTGAACCGACAGGAAGCCCCCTTCTCAGGTGCTGCTCCTTCAGCTGCTCATATTCCACCTGCAGATTCCTAAAACAAAGAAGGTAAACATGGAATTGCTCTTGTGTACGCTGCCTTCTCTCCCAAAGTGTCTATAAGCTCCGATTTTAGCTTGGGCTGCTATTTCCTCTCAGGTGAAGGCGTGCATTAGCAGTAAAATGAGCAAGCAGGAAGAGAACTGGAGCTTTAGGCAGTGTTCTAACAGGCAACACTCCTGAAGCCCTCAACACCACTGGATTCGCAGCATACATTCCAGTGTGTTAGTGTCTAAACTCTGGACTCCACCATGGTATCTTGGACAATCATTCTGGAGAGAAGTAAGGGCCAGTGAGACCTTCACATGAAAGAAAGGGTGACACAGGTTGTTCCCCCAGGCCTAGCCCACCTCTGTTCTTCCTCCAGGTCTGCAATAATACGCTCCAGCTCTCCACGCTCTTCCCTTTCCACAGACTTCAGGATCTGAGCCGGACTCTGCAGCTGGCTCACCGGGGACTCGCCTCCAAGAGTCTGGCAATACTGCTGGATGAGGGCGTGCTCGTCCTCCCTGGAAGGACAGAGGAGATGGACACAGAAGCTCAGGTCTGGATGGCAAGGTCTCTAGACATCCAGGAAGTAGTGGGGAATGATGCTCGGTTGGTGGCTGGGCCAGTTTGTCTTAGAGCTCAATGTCTCCATGATGTCTCTTTTTTCCTTTGGTACTGGGGATTGAACTCAGGACCTTGCGCTTGCAAGGCAGGCACCAAAACCACTGAGCTAAATCCCTGGCCCTCCATGATGTCTCTTTTAAGACTCTAGTAATATATTCATCTGACGTCTCACACTTCACACTTGTCTTACTCTAACAGTTATTTCTCACAAATCTCAGAAGAGAGATTTTATTCAGCACAGAGAATAGAATAAGGGACAATGGTCAACGTAAATAAAGCTAATAAGTTAATGTAAGTAAGGCTTAAACAGTTAATATAAAAGATACAGGTAAACTCACTCATTGAATATCAAGAGTACATTAAGAGATCATTAGGAAAGGGGGATTAAAAAAGGAATTAAGATGTATTATGTACAGGTACCAATTCCCTACAAAGAATGTAAACATTATGTACTATAGACATGTACTAATAAAAAATTACTCATAAAAAAAGATCAGCGAACAAAAATTAGTTGAATGCCTTGCCTTTAGCATTTGGTTGTAAGTAATCTTGAAATATTCTATAATCCATAGGATGTTATAATCTTTACAGTCTTTCAAAATAACTCCCACAAATGATAATTTTACACATTTACAAAGTAGCTACAGATGTTTTACTTGATATTATCACCTAAACTTTTAGGACCAATCATTCTGCATTAAAGTATAAACCACATTAATTTACTGGAGTTCTGTTTACTTAGTTACTTATCTAATGAACTTGACATAATCAAGAATGAGGTTGAATTAACGACTGATACAGCAGATACTGAATGCAGAGAAAACTGATGCATTTATGGGGAGCAAATGCCTTCCAGCAGGCCTGGAATCTCTTGCTTTACAAGGAAGATCCAGTGTGATCTTGTAAATGCATAATGCTTGATATCTGAGGAATGCTAGCTGAAGAATGCTTTAGCAGAGTGTATGTGGACTGTTTCAATGGCTGTTGGTAAAAGAGTCTTGAAATTTATAGATTTATAAGACAGAGGTTCATGAAAACACCTGCTTGTTATGTATGTAGCTCTCAGAGGGTGAAAGGGAGCTATCCCGAGACTGAGTTTCCTGTGCAAGCTGATTGTCTCCCTTAGCAGCCTCGCCAGTGACCGTGGCCACAGCACCCCAAGGCAGCCAGGAAGTGTGTGCTGTGTGGCATGGCTGTCCCTGACCACGCTCTGCTTCACCTGTGCCTTGAAACAACCCATGCTCTTCAGCGGATTGGGAATGCCTGACGCCAGGCAATGGCTCTCATTCTTGTGAGTCTGATATGCAATTCCAGCCCTGTGTCATCACAGTTTACTCTGACAAAGAAAGTACTGAAATTACATCTATGCTTTAGCCATTTCTGAAAAAAAGGTGAGCACTGGGTTCACCTCAACAGACCAAGCAGCGGTTCAAAGGAGCTGCTGGGTGGTTTATTTTGCTACCCTCTTTTATTTGCCTTCCCCATTCTCTCCCCTTTCCTGTTTTCAGATTATCTGTCTTTTTGTCTGTCTGTCTAACTTTAGATTTATGTATGTATGCATATGTATGTATGTATATATACATATGTATATATAGCTGCAGATATGTACATTTACATGTGTGTATGTGGCATTTATTTATTTATTTATTTATTTATTTTTATTTTTGGTACCGGGGATCAAACTCAGGACTTTGCGCTTGCAAGACAGGCGGCGGAACCATTGAGCTAAATCCCCGGCCCATGTGTATGTGTTTTTAAACAAAAGTCACACACATTGGTTACGACCACAATATAAGCACAGACACAACATAGACACAGATACATCTCCTAACCCTCTGACCTCTGTCAATGGATTTTAAAAGGAGGTTGGGTAGAATCCTTGCAACAGAGATAAAAACCACAAATAAGGCACATGGATGCCCATTCTAACAGATCTATCCAACCTGCAGCACACATAGTTTTTCTGCTCTCTTTTAAAAAGAAGTTATAATAAAAATATTTTAAAAGGACGTTTTGTTATTCGTATGCATTAATTATATTATACATTTTATATGAGGCTGAAGACAATTTCACTTTACTCATCAAACAGTGTGTGTGAGGGTTGGAGACAGGATGGGCCACAAGCCTGGAAGGGCTGATGTAGCTGATCGCATCATTCTCAGAGGCATCCTCCCTCCTGCTCCTTTTCCTGAAAAAACTGCTGCATCCCCGGGAGACAAACAGAGCCTCTACAAGAATCCTATGCTCGCTCTGAGGTTTAGAGGCTGAGAGGAGGCTGCATTTGGAAGCCGATCCAAAGTTCCTAGTTGCCCACGTAGAAAATGAAACAGCAATCTTGCAGGAAGATCCCAGGGAAGAAGGTACTTTGCTGTTAGGAAGTACATGGCCAGCACTCTAGATCTAGCTATCATGGAGAGGCAGGAGCAGGCCAGGAGACTAACAGATACACACCACTGGGACAGCAGTTAGCTCCAAAGGATCACAGTATTGCCTAGAGGCGCGTCCCTCACTTTGTGTGGAGAGAGAGGCAATAAGCAAAGATAAAATGTACAGGATTAACACAGGGATAGGACAAATAGACAAGGCATAACCATCGAGTGGATGGAATATAAAGTAACTGCACAATAAGAGTAGAACATTTTGCAAATATTTCTCAGGCTGAAAAAGACCTGAGCATCAAAATGAAAAAGATGGTAGTATCCAAAAAAATTCGTAAATATCCCAGGAAAATTTCTGTATCTCAAGGATCAACCATACAATCAATCAGCCAGAGATCAAAACAAAACAGTAAATGATTTGAAAAGGAAGAAAAAGTTTTAGCTTCGTATAATCCACAATATTAAATGGTCAAAGATGATGGGGCATGTCTTGAGTAGTAACCCAGTCACTCATATGACAGCCAAGTCATTTATTTGTACAGGAAAAACATTTTGTCTACATGGAAAAAGGAAGAAAGTATGAGTCAGGATGACACAAAATAGAACAGAAGTAGATAGTACTGTCAGGTGTTGAAATAAATGTTAAGTAAGCTGATTCTTACGTGAGTGAAAAAAAGTTATAATACCTATAAATAGTATACTTAAAAGAAAAAGATAAAAAATTGAGTAGAAGTTTAAGAAAAAGGAATATAAAGACTTCAAGTATTAAAAAAAAAAAACTTGGATCCCATAAAGTACCTGGCTGATCTCACAGCTGTGATTTGACCAGGGATTTGGGCACAGAGCTTAAACACCTTTAGATCATTCATACCCTAAGAGCATTTATGCTAACACTAGATCGCAGGGATTCAATGTAGTGCTCAATATTATGTAACATAAACTAAAGGTTTGTTTTAAAGATTTGGGTATTACGAAACCAGTTCAAATTCATTTAAGAAACATTTTGTCGTCAACATTTACAGAGATTTCTTTTGAGAAGTTCATGAGGTTTATAATATCATTATAATTATCATTGCAATGAACATTACATTCTTTTATTAAGGTGTCTGGAAGAAAACTATAGCAATTCTTATAAAAAAAGAGCTTAAAGATAATTTATATACTATATGTTAAGTCTTAAGTGTTTTTCACAGATGATTAGATCTAAAAGTTAAATATAAAAATAGATACATTCTAGTTCTAAATTATATATAGTAAAGACCAAGAACACATTCTTTAATTGTAATAGTACATGATGTACCAGATTAGGGTCATTAAACATCAATAGTGTGCCTTGTGCTAAAATAGAAAATGTTTCAAAAGTGTAGGTCTGTACCAAGAAAGACAATTAGATGGAGTATAATTGTACTATTATTTGTCACACATAGTAAATATAATCTAGATTACAAAATTAGTACCCATCAGATGAGAAAAGAACTGTGATTCATCCAAGGACCTTTTGAAAGTAGGCGAGACATAAATAAAAATACAAGCTTCCTTCCTTTTAAGGACTGCTCTATTCCAGGTTTCAGAGCCACAATCAACAATGTTAGCACAAACCATACCCAGACTTCCCCTGTGATGCGTCCACATAAGACAGTGTCTCCAGGGACACAAGACAGATGGAGTGAGACATTGTGAAGACAATGGCCTAAGGCACAGTCACCCTTCAATTCTGGCTTGAGACTCCCCAAGACCCCCTGGAGTCCTACCCCTTTCTCAGATGTAGCTGCTCAATTCTCCCTTCAAAGATTCTTTGTATTCTTAAAATCAATGCCCTCTTACACTGTCCAGAGTCAGACTTTCACAGAATTAGGAAGTACTGGGAATTGGGTATACATATGTGGGGTAAAAAGCTGGGAGGCCAGTTCCTATTTTAGGCTAGGGAATTAGCCACCCATGACACATGGAGGTACAAAAGATAATTAAAGAGTTCAAGGAAGAGGAAAGCTATGGGGGTGGGTGAGACATGGCCCAAGATGAGGGAACCAGAAAGATTCAGTCTGCAGGAGGGATAGCCACTGTGTGAGACACAAATGACTCAAAGGGCTTTGGATAACTCAAATGTAAAATTCAAATTGGAATCTCAGCTCTATTACCTAATAGCAGAAGACTTTTTTTCTTTTCAAAAGGCTGAGATCACTCACAGCCAAATTTAAGAGATGGATCATACAGGTTGTTGAACTGTAGAATCTTCTGCATTGAAAATCTAGTTAGTTCTCAAATGTGAAACAGGAAATGAAGAGAGAATGGGCAGGATCAAGGAAAGGACAGTGACAACCTTCTGGTAGACTGGATGGATCTACAGTGGCTCTGGATCTCCCTCAGCATCACACGTGGGAAACCCTCCCTTCTCCCCCTGGTAGCACAGGCGACTCAGTGGCGTGGCCAGGAGTGCCTACGCCTGGAGTCAGGCTGCTGGGGGCTGACCCGGCTACACTACTTCCTGACTCTGAGACCCAGGGCAAGCTCCTTTACTTCCTAGGGCCGCCATTCACTCCTCTGTGCAATGATGCTAACAATGGGGACAAGAGTTTCACCTCCCAGGGGTTCTACAACGACTCCCTCAGGATGAGCGAAGTGCACAGAAGAATGATGGCCCGTGGCTCGCTCCATACCACAGAGGAGCCAGTAGCTATTTTGGCACCCTCACCATTATTCCTCAAAAGAAACCTAACAATATCCTTCATGGACCAGCTTGAAGTAAAAAAAAAAAACCAAAAATCCCCTCAAGAGATGCCTAGGAGTGAAGTGAAGAACTCAAGAAAGAGAAAAGTTCTAGAGTGCTGTGGAATTTACTAACATACCATTTTTTGCTTAAGGTATTTTGATTTGGTTTTCAATCTTTTCCAGACCACACCCCTCTGCCCGTCCCGCCAAATGTGGGTTTTGAAGGCTCTAGACTTGGCACTCCTGTAATTATGCTGGTCTTCTCTAAGGAACTCAGGTTGCCAAAGGGCACCATAAACTGTCCTGTCCTGACACATTAACTAACCCAGCCCAGTACTTGCTGAAGGAATGAATACATTTCGAATGAGAATTGTGGTCTTACTTTTCTAGTGATAGACATTCTCTGAATGGAAAGAGTTAGAAACTCAAGGGTAAACATATCTACCAAATGGGCAGACTTCTCTATGATGGGTTAAATGTGTCATGTGCTCAGGGCTTAGCTCTGTATTTCACAGACTTCGGTAACCTTCCTACCACCTCCTAAATGCTGCCCCATCCACTATGGAATGTTTTTAATTGACCTCAAATTGGGACACTCTAATTTTTTACTTCTTTCATTCTAACCATTATCTATAAACTCATGGATATGATCTGCCTATGTATTTTAACTGAACATATAACTCTTTTATGTTTAAAATTACCTTTTATCTCATATGTCACTACTTTGGGTAAAATGTGCCTTAGGTAATACCAAGACATACTTTTCAGCATATAGTTTAAAATCTGTCTTACCATTAATTTTCTGTGTTTCTTAAGGGAATCAACTACCCATCTGTATCTTACTGGGGAAGGTGGGAATGGGCTGTCTGAGACAGAGGGAAGAGGTCAGGGCTACTTCTCCACTACTCCAGGAAGCTGGAGAGGTGACAGGACACATCAGGGGAAAGAGCCCAATGCGCAGGAGGCACAAGAGCACAGTGAAAGACAAAGCAGGGGACACTAATGGAAAATATGTGGTACAGAGAGTTTGGGGATGAGCAGAAAAATGGCCATTGGCTTCTGGATGAGAGTTCTCTATCTTCAATGACCTAAGCAACACATTTCCCCTTTTGTAAGCTAAAAAATAGTTCCCTTCCACAGAAAAAGGATAACAGATTGCTGCATGAGGTAACCGTCACTGAGTCAGAAACTGTGACGAGAAAATATTGAAAACCTATTGTGGTATCCCGGTATTACCAGAAATACTCTCCTACTCAAGGGAATAATACTGGTTAAAACGGACATGATTAAGTAAATAGACATTACAAGTTAAGGGAGAAGGGTGACCACTCCATATCAAATCAGTGGATTTCAGATCTAGGGTGCAGCTTCAATGATGCAGGCTCATTATTAGCTTTCTCCCCTAAATGGTAGAATCACTGCAGATTTATAGGAAACAAACCCCAGGATGCCCAGTAATTCGAGGTGTGAAAGCAAAGAACCTCCCTGCTGGCTTTCACAGAGTGAGACTGAACACATTTACTGAGAAAATATTAATGGACCAGCAACTGGAAAACAATTTCTCTTTCATGGCTCACACAGTCTTACACTACTATTTTAGTTTAGTCATATGTATAAGAGAGAATTGTTTCCCTGCCTTTTTTAGCACCTTGAGGTAACCTGCACTCTTCCATTCTCAATGCTAACGGTAAATCTATATCTGATCTCTACTTCCACACTCACCTCTCCTTCTCTGACTCTAACTCTTCACCTTCCCCTTTAGAAGGACCTTGTAGGATCACAGTGGGCCACCTGGGTAACTCGGGGTGCTTGCTTCCTTTCCACAGCCTTAACTCAATCACATCGGTGAATCCCCTTCTGCCATATGAAGTAATATACCCACAGGTTCCCAGAATTAGGATGGGGACATTAGAGAACAATACTGTGCCTTCACACATGACCTCACCATGCTCTTCTCCTGTTGGAGCACTTACCTGTCTCCCCTCCATCCTGCAAAACTTGTGAAGAGAATACCTACATCTGTCAATGGACTGCCACTAGGTGCATGGCAGTGGCTGGCTAATATGTGTACAAGAACAGGTTCTCCACAAGAAAAAAACAGGGGTCTTGACAAGTAGAGTCCCAAGTTCTGGGGTTTAAATATTTTCTTCACGGCCAAGTTCAAGTTATGGATGTCACTGAGTATGGAATTAGGAAAAAGCACACAGGTACACGCCATCTGATGGGCATAATAATCAACCCTGAGGCCACAGATAATAGTAAAATGAAGTAAAATAATGAGAGCATGATGGGTTTAGAGTGCTTTGTTTTTATTTTAATCTATTTTATTTAATCATATCTGTATATACATATATGTAAATTGGTTTTTAATAAGGGCTCTATGAAACTTAGAATCTTCCTGAAAATGTAATAATCAGCTCTCTCATAATTGGGTCCAGTGTACCACTGCACTGTAGGTATATAATAAATATTTGTTGGATGGATAAATGTGTTAATATATCTAATGACAGTCTAAGAAGATATATTCAGCTGAAAACCATCTGATTATCTTTTCTGAAACATTAGTGCTAAATGTATAATTAGTGTTTATTTTATTTGAAGATAGAATATACTAAATTTGAGCACTATTTTTACTCTATTCAAACAGCAAGACAAAAACATTTTAAAGAGGTAAGATTTTGATCTTAATTATTTTTATTTAATTCTGTGAACATTTTTAACCTTGGTGAAAATGATTTTGATTTAGCAGATATTTAATGTATTTACTCCATGTGAAGTGCATACTAGTATGTTAAATAGAAAACAAACATTTCGAATACACTATTATCTTGATTTGGAAATTGTTTCATATTCATAGTACCTGAATTAATGAGATATAAATCATTATTATATCATTGTCAAGTATTAAGATGCTAATCTTTGAAATTTAAAATTGAAATAAAACTCTCCTCTGAGCTTTTATTTATAAGGTTCATGATAACTAGAACTTTTTTTTCCATATTTGAAGGGAGACATTCTATGTTATTGTGCTTCTGATATTTATACTTGGTTTTGTTTTCTCTGTAGTCTTTTTTTAGTGAAAAATACCTATGCACTATTTTCAAAAACTTTTCTGTCAGCCTAACAATTTCCCACCAGATCCAAACTACAGTGAATCTGTAAGTCACATAAACTTGACACTACTAAAATCTTTAAGACATTGCATAGAATTAATGTGAATTACAAGGCTAGGAAAGGTCCCAAAGAAAAGATGACACAAACCATGGAATAAGAAGAGGTAAAATATCTGCCAAGAAAATTCCACAACCACGTTGGATATACGCAAATGAGGAAATCAGAGGTAAAATATTTGTCTAGAAAGCTTCTTAAGAGGCATTCTAAAGTCACTGAGGCTTCCCTTAGTTCCTAACAAAATAAAATACTGGCAAGGGAGTCAACTTTTCACAGAAGGGTAAGAAGTATATGTTCAAGGGTGCATGGACTGAGGTTGCTCAATGCAGAAATGACACAGAAAAACATTAGCAAGCAGAAGGAAGAGTACTTTGCAGAAAAGGTTTATATCCTATGGAATCAGATTTGCAAATTTAACAAGAAACATAAATATTACATTATAAATAAAATGATCTGATTATTCTAAAGCAGATCAGTTGACCAATGGAGAATTTTTTTTTTCATTAACTCATAGCATGAAAGCATAAAATCCATGTAGACATTTTTGGAATCATATTTATTAATTTTGATTGGGATCAAAATTCAGGCCCAGAGTCACTGAAGATTATTTCCGACAGCCCTAATCCAGGAAGAAGCCTTCTCAGGCAGTGCTAATTCCACGATTTACTTACACACTTCCTGTAGTAGAGCTGCTATCGGTGAGGAAAGACCCGTTGGTCCGTTCCATCTGGGCCAGTCTGAAAAATGGAAAGAAGAGGCTATTGTCCCATGTTTTCCACATAGGACACTGTCAATTGGAAGCACATCCTCAGACACTTGTGAACCATCATATTGTGACAAAACAGACTAAGGCCCAAAGGTTCTAGCAAAATGGTTAGATGAAAACATCTAATATTGAGTCACCTTTTTGTCACCACTGCTACCTTAAGGCCCGTGGACCCCTATTTCTTACCACGCTGCACTGTTGACCAAGTCTCCTCAGTGGTCTCCCAGGCCCCCTGGCCAGACTTCTACACTGAAGCAAGGGTGGAATTCTCACACACCTCTGAGTGTGCTCCTCTCAGCTTAGAAACTCCCCACGGTGGCTTTTCTTTCCCTAAGGACATGCCTGAAGTCCTAAGCAACTGGGCCCTTCATTATCAGACCCTGGATTCTGTGCCATCTCGCTCGCTCAGTAAACAAGTCATGACCTTTCCCAGCTCAGTGCTTTTGAGTATGTTTCCCAACAGCCCAAGCCGGCCTTTCTCCAAAAATTCTACTTTGTCTCCACTCAGTTCATTTACTACTATTTTTAGGATTAAACCAGTATTTTCATCACTGGTTACTGGGACCACAGATGACGATTACTATTGTACTGAAAGTTTGTGTAGGCCATCAGGACCACTCAATGTTGTCTAGGAACACTAAAACGCCAATACCAAAGCAGTAGCATAAATTTAATTACAGAGTGCAATTTATATGTGCATCATCTCCTGAGAATACTTTAAACCCCTACTTTAATTCACCGAAACTGAGTTACATGATCTAAATCCTGCTTGTACAGTGTTTGGACTCTCAGGAGCTCAGTAATTACAGCCTATTGAGATTTCTTTTTCATAGATACATAGCAGGTGTTTGGCAAAGTGCAAATTGCAACATGAAAAGATGAGAGCTCAGATTCCAAATGTAACAGAATCCCAACTTCTGCAAAACAGCATTCCTCAAACCAGGGCATTTTCCTGGTATTGGATTAATTCAGAAAGGGATGTGTTCTGGGTGGCAATGCAGCACCGGGCTCCCATCCAAGCCCCTTACCGTGTGGCGTACTGTTCTATCCTTGAGTGGGTGTCATCGTGGAAGAGCTGAGGGGACTGCGAGGGGCTGTAAAGGAGAACACAAAGTGATAGTTTTATGCCCTAATACTGATAGGTGCTACTAGTGGGAATGTTAGTTTAGTTAAACACTTAATTTGCCATGCAAACAAACCACCGGTACTCGTACACAGGATGCAGGAGCAGTACTTCAGAACCAGAGTTTAGTCCTCACCCCCGTGCTAGGACACCTGATTAGAACACCCGTCTTGTGCATATGGGCTGTGAATACTCACTCATAGTGCTCGGGCCACATACTGATGAGGGTGATAGGACTGCAAAGAGGGGAGAGGGAAACAAAAGTCACAGAACAAACACTGTAGAGCAATTTCAGACAAAATCAGCGGACTGGGCAGATTTGCAGTTGTCTTCTACTCATATATGTGGTTGCCCTCACATCCACCATGGGAAAATCAAAAGTCATAGTTTATTCAAGAGAAGATGCTGTGCGCTCAAGTGTCTGTAGGAGGCTTTCCGGCCTCTTCACAGGTCCTATAGGATATTTGTTGCAGGATAGCAAGCACATGTTCAAACCATCTTATTGAGAACAAAATTCCAGAATGTTCTATAACCCACAATTACAAAGACAATATTCTTGAAGGGAGACGCAATTGAAGTTTTGTTTTTCCTAGAGAAGAAGTGTGATCAAAAAGATGAAGATAAATATGTGACAGTTGATTGTATATTGATGGCAGTGTTGAAGTAAAATCAGATTTTTCTCATTCTTCATCCAATTTTAAGCGTAAAAATTCAAACCCAGGTATACATGAAGAGATTCAACTTCACAGATACACTGAAAAGGAAAAAAAGCAACCTGCACATCTTCACCTACATCCTGGCCAAATGGCCACATCATCAACAAAACTGAAAGAAGCTTCTTTGAAGTAGGACCTTTTTTAAACAAGGTTTTATTCAGAAGTTCAATCTAGGAAACTAATGTATGAAAACAGGTTCTGCTGGAATCAGGGGCTTGAATCTAAAGTCAGATCAAGTCCACTCTCAGCCTAGACAGCACCAGACACTCACTGCCTAGGGATCCCCATGTCTCCTGGAAATACTTTCTTAGAAAACAACTGATCTTAATTAAAAGTGAGTTCAAACTCTTTCTTTCTTTCTTTTTCTTTTTGAAGCATGGGGTGGGAGAGTGATGAATGTAAATTTAAAAGTACAAAGATGGTTGTCTATTCAATTAAATAAAGTTGCAAAAGCTAATGTTGATTGAAGCAAAATTATCTACTTCCTTGATTCTCCTGTTTCTATTATATGTATATACTTAAGAAAAAAGTTCATGATCTCATTATCTCCTACTGTGAAGCCGATGTCTGCATGGCAAAGACTTTGAGACAGAAGGTTATCTTATTGAGATGAAAAATTTAAGACTCTTCAGGCCTACTCTCAAAAATAGGTATTTATCTAACTTTGTGCTTGTCGGAATGCAGAATTTATTCTCTAAGAAGACTTAATTATGTATATGTAAAATAGATACAAGAACAACATAGCATTCCACATTCTTCTGACATTAACTCTGAAACAGGGGTGTTAAATGTCAAGCGACTGATTTGCTATACATTTTCTAAAAACAGTAGCTGTTTAAGAGATTATTTCTGAAACTCAAGCGCACCACAACATTTGACATGAGTTTTAAACAAAAGAAGAATGTGCATTTTTGATCTTAACAGACCCTGGAAAAGCTCTGTGACACTGCTTGACTGGTTCTTGTGAAGTTACTTCAGATAGCACAAAAGGGATCCCTGAACTAAGATAAGAACGGCAGGGGTAGAAAGGCACACTGAAGAGTTTCTCGGGAGTGGTTTTTCTTTTCTTTTCAGTGGAAAATGTATAAGAAAAAATAGAGATAAGAAGTCAAACTTTAAACTCCACTGACTTCAAAGCATTTTGATTTGAAGAAAAAAATTTTAAGTGCTAAGGTTTTACTTTTATTTTCAGAGGAAAAAAAACCCAACTAAGTACTGCTTGGTTGGACCTATGGCTACAGACAGTTCAAAAATAAAACCAGGGCTGAAGATGTAGTGCAGTGGTAGAGCTCTTGCCTGGCATGCCTGAAGCCCTGGGTTCTACTCCCAATACCACAAAATAACAACAACAACAACAATAATAATTATTATTATCATAAGAACAATCAGTGCTACCCCATACTTAATCCTACAGCCTCTTCTTGTTTTTCAGGGTGGTGCCTGAGCAGGGTGTCTTGGTTAATCACACGCTAATACAGAAGGAACCAAACTCTACCAAACATATTTAAAGTATATTTGAAGTTTAAAAAGTCTTGAACATACTTTGAAGAACTCTGTTGGTGCTTCCAGGTCCCAGAAATCTGTTCCTTATGCTTCTGGTTTTCTGTCTTCTTCAATCCATTTGTTCCAAAGCAGGTAGATATTTGTATCTCAGCTCTTTTTCCATTTTAAACTCACATTGGCTCCCGGTGCTGAGGATAAACTCTGAACACTTCGGCATGGCCCACAGGGCCCTTTACCATCTAGCTCCTGTTTCTCTTTCCACTCTTGTTTTTGCCACTGTTTCCAGCTTACCACTCTAGTTGCCTAAATTTTAAGCCTTCAAGTTTCTGAAAATGCTTCCTTTGCACTACCCCTCTCCTCCTAGGAACACTGCAAAAATTCAACACAAGGTCCTCTTCATCTTTTGGGTCTCAGCTCAGCTGTCTTTCTCCTTGTCTTCTGCCATCATAGTTTTACCTACCCTGGGCTGGTTCTTGCTATAGGAAGAGCTCTAAAACATCTTTAAACTCATCCAGTCCACCTTAGCTGGTGTCTATTTTACTTTTCTAATCTTTAGAGAAACCAAACAGTATTTTTACCCAATAATAACCTCTTACAACTCTCAAATTACTTTTGCTACTATTTTAGCTTATTTCTTAGGTATATTTCAACAATGCACTCTTTAATAAAGCTCTACTGCTTTATTTCGTTCTTTGAGAAATACTGTATAAAGAGTCATAAAATTAATTGAATAAGCCTTAGCATGGGTATGCTTACCCCTTCAGTCATCACTGTTTTTTTCCTATAAATCCCCTTCACACACACCCGTATAATTAATGGTCAGAAGACAAAACATGACATTTTGAGAGGGTGAAAGAGAAACAAAAGAAATTTCTAATCAGCTCCATAAATAACTTCAACACCTTCACTACTTCACTGGTTTTTCTCCAATGTTCTCTTCTCACAAATAGAGGGATAAAGGAAATCAAACTTTTTACTGCCCACTCCTATAAATTATTATACCAGAAGATTAAGTGGCCCTGTACTAGAAAGGGCTCAGCAAAAAAAATGAACTGTACCAAATCCAGAGAGCTCTGTATAGAATATTTAGTCTTTTGAGACAGAGTCTTCCTATATAAAGTTCAGGCTGGCCTTGAACTCACACTATGTACTCCAGGATGGACTTGAACTTGTGGTGATCCTCCTGCCTCAGCCTCCTGAGTGCTAGGATTACAGGGGTGCACGCTACTCCTGGCTCTGTCTAGGATTTTAAAAAGAAGAGAATCTGTCCAATAAGTCCAATAGCACATAACTCATTTTCAATAAGTACCTTGTGGCATCTGATTTAATCTTACACTCTTTGATTCTTTTCACTTGTTTCCTCTCTCAATGAAAATGGTAATAAATTTATGCTAAATGAGGTGAGGACTCTACAGTGTTACATTCCAAAATCAAACCATAACATTATTTGCCATGCTTTTCTGTTAATGTGTACTTTCAAAGAATCACTCAAAATAGGATGATTGATGTTGATTTTTTTTTTTTTGGTACTAGGGATGGAACTCAGGACCTTGTGCTTGAGAGGCAGGCAGCGGAACCACTGAGCTAAATCCCTGGCCCTGTTGATGATTATTTTGACCTTGAAAGGCAAATTATTAAAAATATTTTAAAAGGATATAAAAGATCTATTTTCACACTTTGTGTGAAGGATACAGGTATTTGGGACACAAAATGCCAATGACTTATGAAAAAAAGTGTAAGGCACAATGCTTAGCTCAAACCTACGCAATGATCCCATAAATTAAAGCACTATGTGATAATTCTATACTTCAGGCAGCCACTCCAAAGGTTAACTGGGTCTGATACAAACAGAAGCAAAACTTCATCATAAGGTATTCAGCACTATAAACTGCATTTTAGACACTAAAGTAAGAATTACTAATATACGATCTTTCAAAGAAAAAGATGAAAATATAGCCACAAAACAAAGACCCCAAATATACCTTTCCTGTATGTATTTGAATAGCTCTCCTTAAAATGAAATCAATTTCACAAAATTTGTTCTAATGTGGATTGTGGAAAAAACAATGAGGAAAGCATATATCTTAGTTGGACACAGTTTGATGTTAAGCAGAGTTATCAGAAAGGAGTTCTGTCTTATATACGTGCATGTGTTATACGCAGGCCTATTTATATAAAAGAGAGAGACATGCTAGTTTAGCAAATTTCCTACAGGACTAAAGGTCTACAGGACTATATATGGGAAGACATCAGATCATCTATTCTATTTTGGCATCTTTAAGACACTGACTTTCAGAACACATTGGATTCTTACTACCTCTGAGTTTCTCTCACATACAAAGCAAAATGAACTATGGATTTTGAAGGTTAAATAAAAGTTGTGCTTCACAAAAATTGCACTTGACACACCTTTTATGGTTCTTGCAACAATTTTCTCTGTTTGTGACGTAGAGAACATTATGTTGAGCACTTGCAGGCTCTGCGCTATAATCACTTGGAAAGGGACTTTCTCTCCCAGAGCAGCACTGCTCTCTGGGCCGACCTCTTCTGGAGATGACTAGTGATAAAAAATCACTTTCCCAGCCACAAGCCCAGAAGAAAATCCTTGCCAGGCACATTGTGCTGATACTCTAAAAAACGATTCAAATTTTTAAATCATACCTATTTTGATCATGACAAATAATTCTTTAGTAACTTAAAATTACTTCCCTGCATTTCTTCTGGCTTATTTAAAACCTTTTCTTTGTTCCCTTTTCATCTCAGGCTACACATTTTTATCTGACTTACTTTATAATTCCATGGTAATTTTTCTATCTTGAAACTTTGATTTATGCTTGTCAGCTGAAAATACAATGGCACCTCAGTGCACAAACTTAATTCCTTCCACAGTTCTGGTCGCAAACTGAATTGGATGAGAACCAAATCAAATTCAATGGTTAGGTTCAATGTTGATCTTACGGTGAAATTTGCTTCCATTCTCATCCAATTCGGTTTGTGACCAGAATCATGGAGAGAATTGAGTTCATGAACCGATGTACTGCTTGTATATGCTTTTAAGTGATTATGTCCATTTCCTACAATATATAAAGGTATTTCATTTTTCTGCCGCCATCTTTAAGATAGCTAAGAAATATAATGTAAGATTTTGATATCTTAGCATAGATACATACTTGAAGCAAGAGATTTAAGTGTTATTGGTAAATTTGTATTAAAAAGATGTAAAATGTACTACAAGAAATAGTAAAACAACCTCCAAAAGGAGAAACAGAAAAAAATAAATGAATGAACAAAAAAATTTTAAAACTTTCCTTTTTTTTTGCAGTGCTGGGTTTGCCTAGAGCCCTAGGCATTCTACTAAGTTACATTCCCAGTTTTGATTAAGTATTTTAAAAGGAGAAGAGATGATCAAAAAAAGAGGTGACCACATGTCTGTAATCCCAGTATTCTGGGAGGCTGAGGCAGGAGGACTGCAAGTTTGGGTCCCACATTGGTAATTTAGGGAGACTATGTTTCTCTCTCTCTCTCTCTCTATATATATACACACACACACATACACACACACACACACACACAAAAGAGAGGAAAGGCTGGGGAAGTAGCTCAGTGCAAAGGCACTAGGTTCAATCTCTAATATTGGAAATAAGAATAGAAAAGAAACAAGAAAAGAGGAGAGAAAAGAGATAAAGGAAAAAGAACAGGGACAACCAACCTGTTCAGAAACAACAGACTATCAGTGTAGAAACACATTCCCAATTAAACCTGCACCAGTCAAAAGTCAATAATAAAATTTCATAATTCTGAGGATTAATTCTAACTTTATCTCTCTTTTTTTTTTTTGGTACCAGGGATCAAACTCGGGACCTTGCACTTGTGAGGCAGGCAGCAGAACCACTGAGCTAAATCCCTGGCCCGTAACTTCATCTCTTTTGAAATGAAACATTTTAAGAAGATACAAATCCTTCCAGCATTAAATAATATCTCTTGATCTCTTGTGTCATTAACATTAGAAAAGATAACAACAAAGCAAATATTCATCAATGATTTTAGATTAAAATCAAACTTACGTCTCTAAGTTGTCACCTTCGAGAACTGTCTGGACAGGCAGGTAGCCAAGCCGAGGGTGTTTGGCAAAGTATTTCTTTGATCTAAATTTGTTCTTCAGCACCTTTGTGAAGTCTCTCACATCTTCCCCAGATGTTGTCTGTAAGGTTAAAGAAAAAATTGCACTTCTCATTAAGACTGAGGGAGATAACCATCCACAATAAAATCAGAGCAGATGTAAACTGACACCATTAAACGGCAACGATTCTGGTAGCTTTATGCATTTTTGGAATAATACCCAATATTCTTGAAAACACATTACAAATTGGAATTCATCATTAAACATATCCACTGATAAAGTTTTAAATTTTCTGTTGAAAATAAACCCTTTCTTCAATGTTTTAAACCTTGAGCCAAAAAGTAAAATTAGTTTTGGAAATATCACTCACTGGTTGATTCCTACCACTAAAACTACTTATTGTTAAAAATGTAGTAAAGAGGAAGTATTCTGAGTATTACATAGTTTTGACTATGTTGAATAAATTGAAGTTAGCACATGGCCATTTTGGCTCCCCCAGGAGAGAAAGTGCAGATGCACCCTGGAGCTCTAGATTAGAAAGAATCCTGTCTATTTCTTTATCCTTTCTACACTGCAGCCATACAATTGTCTTACTTGAGCCAAATTTTTAAAGGTGACATAAAACATTATTGTTTCCTTAAGTATTTTAAGATGACTGGCTTCAATACTCCTTTAGGGTAAGAGGGGCTGAAATTACCTAACCTTACCCTCTTATTCTATCCCATGAACTGTTCTCTAAGTTCCAATTTTCTACTCTCTCTCATCAATTCAGCATCAGTTTTTATTTGCTATGCAGTAACAACTTTAGTCCTTCTGGAGATATAGTTAAAATATTCATATTATTTGCATAGAATTGAAGTAAAACCTTGATTGTCTGCCTCCTACTTTTCTGGGGAACCTACCACTGAATAGACCTCACTCCCATCTCCTTATAATCAGAGAATATTTCTACAGCATTAACTGAGTCATAAATATTTGTTTATTCTGCTGCCAGCTCCCTGCTCCCACCCCATCTTTTCTGTCACTATAAACTTGTTCAGGCCTCATATGAACTTGTTTGCAAACTGAAACTTTAAAAAATATAATTATTTTTAAAAACAACTAAGTTGGGGTCAACCCTTACAGTTTTGCTGCTTTTTATCTAGTCTCTCTCTCTGCCTAAATATGTTTGCTTCTAATAAAAAATTGCAGGAACTTCTGAGTCTACTCTTAGGTTTGCAGGACAGAAAGGAGTCATGAATAATACCACACTATTTAGGGATAGTCTAAAATGCATTACTTTTTCACATTATTAAAACAAACGACAAACAAATAACAAATGCCTCCAGTAGGGACAGTCTCAGGCTATCATTAGAAACTGCCAGAAGATTCACACTGTTAAATCTTCTTCTGAATGACTGAAAATAAACTATAATGATTTGAAGTTCTATAGATAGAGATTATCCCAAATGCAAAGCAGATGTGCAAGATGGGAAGAAGTCATTAACAGATAGACCAAAAACTGTAAGGCAATCCTGTAGAGGAAAAGTTGCTATGAGAGAGAGATGGTGTTTTGTAGGTATTAAGACCTTACCAGGCAGAATAGGAGAAATAATCAGAATAAATTGAGAGTTATAAAAAAGAAACTTTCAGAGAAAGAATACTTGGGACCTAGCATCACTTGTAAGGATATTCACATCTTTTGCATTGGGTAGCACACTGCAGATAATCAAGTTTATAGATATCCTCCTCTGATTTACAAAGAAGAAAAGTGAAACAAGCTTTACATAACTGACATGCAAAATGAAGACACCTGTGTTAAGAAAAAGATTTTAGGAGCCAATTATTTCAGTATCTTTGTTCAGCACCTTCTTAGTAAAGAGGGAAGTACTCAGTGAAGAAGTGCACTCACGCTTTTACTTGGGTCACCTCCACACTTGCAATATATAGGTCTGGATCTCTTAGGGCAGTGGTTGTCAAGTGAGACCTGGGTCTCCATCTTGCAGCCCAAGGTTGCTTGAGTGGGAGAAAAGGCCAGATGGGCAGGGCCTCAAATTCTGTCTCCCCAGCTGCCTCAGTGTACACTGCATAATTCAGTGGTCGTGAGTATATTCACAGCTGAACAACTAGCATCACTACCTAATTACAGAACATTTATTTTCATCACCCCAAAAAGAATCAATATGTGCATTACTACCCCCAACCCCTGGAAAGCATCAATGTGTTTTTTGTGTCTGAATCTGCCTATTCTGGACATTTCATCAAAATGAATTCATATAATATATAATTTTTTTATGATGGCTTCTTTCTATTTCATAATATTCTTCTAGCTCATCACATTTGGGTTCCTACAAGGAATCTTGCTTAGAGAAAGAAAAAGCCCAAGTCTAATTCCATATCATACATTACTTAGTTAAATATATTCAAAACAGAAGATTAGACCAAAATCAATCCAACACAAAACAGAACAAAAAAATCCCCTCTCCACACTACTCCTCATCACAAAAACACACACCTGCTCATCTTCCCAAAGTTTTATATCAAAGACTGAAATTAAATTAAGTTTGCAATCACGGTTATATATTTTTTTAAAAAGTTAGTGCAAATTCACAGAGAAACAGAACATTTTTTCAGAATGATTTTTATATTGAGGAAAAAAAAATCTACCAGTCAAAGTTGCAATCTAAAGGCATTAAATAATGCTATGAGCTTCATGCAATATTAAAAGAAAATGTGAGAAGTAATTCATCCCACAAAGTAGGGATTATATTTGGGGTAGCAAAATATATATCTTTGGGATAGAGCCAAGAAAATGAATTAAGCCCACATTTGCACCAAAAATGTTAAAATATTTATACATACTTGGTCAAATTTGCTATTTAATGACAGTATCTAATATTTCTCTATTTTACAGTGTTAATGCAATGGTTTGGTTAAACAAAAATGGAAATAGAGGACCACTTACCTAATATAATGAGTATAATGAATTCAACTCTATTTTCACATTAGATTTAATATTTTGTTTATTTTTCAAAAGCAAACAAGTATTGTTATTATACTAGGAAGATGGAATTCAAGGAACACTTATCAATGAACAAATTATTCAATACTTTAAGTGAAAAATGGAATTCTTGAAAAAATTAAGTTTTTGTTTACTGCTGTACATAAAAGAAGAGAGAAGGAAACAGAAGATTTTGCAGGTCCCACTCAGTGAGACGATGGTAACATTAGTACAGATCCTTCAGCATTATAAATTGTTTTCTTTTAATCTCATTTAACCATCATGGCCTTTAAGAAGATTATCATTGGGTGTCTGGCCTGCAGAGAAACTAACAATAAGCTTTCCAAGAACTCTAACCCTGTCAGTATGGGAAAGTTGGTCTGGCAAACCTAGGCCTTTTCATCATATCAGGACTATGCAGAAAAACAAAACAATTTTTTAAGTTTTGTAGGAGAAAGAATCCATGGCTCCTAAGTATAATAACTATTACCACACTTTGCATTCATCATTCACTTTAAATAAAGTACTGCTAAGATGTTATGTGGCTGTTTATGAAGAAACACACTGAAATTTCATTTTATAGATTTAAACTGCATGTATAGAACATGTTCAGTGTAAATACAGTTAGAAAGAAAGTACATATAAAGGAATAAAAGTAAAAGAGAGCTACGGGATCACTCAGAGATAACCATTCTTAAAATTTAGTTATTGGACTGATGTTTACCTTTTAAAAACATATACACAACAAATATATCCTTCATGAGTGACTGTAAGGTGATACCATCATCTAGGTCAGGCTATGGAACTTTGCTGAATATTCTAGAAACTCCTTCCACTCTCAAGTCCCTTCCCCTCTCCATAAAAAGCATAATCCTCTTTTAGTAACTTACTTATATTTAAAAATAATTTATCATTCCAACTTCTATTCCTAAATATTATGGTTTAATCTTGCTCATTTAGAAATATCTAGGGGCTGGGGATTTAGCTCAGTGGTTCCGCCGCCTGCCTTGCAGGTGCAAGGTCCCGAGTTTGATCCCTGGTACCAAAGAAATAAAAACAAAAACAATAAATATCAATATGAACTCGATTTTATCATATTTGTGGGTTTCAATCTGTCACAATTATTAAGATTCAAATTGCTGCATCTTTGACTGGCAGAAGCTTCTTTCGGTTGGCTCTTTTTATCGAGGGACTAGTAGTAGTTTTTAAGAACTTACTTGCTAGCTAATATTACAAGATATTCTAAATTCACCTTCTATCCTGTCTAGGCTCTTTCAGTAGAAATATGTATTGAAAGGCATCATTCCCCATGAGGTTACATTGAAGCATGTGATTCACATTCCCAATGGTGGGGCTTTGCTTTCCTTCTCCATTACATCTTCACCTCCTCTCTTCCATAACTAGAACCTCCATTCTCAGGGACACAGGGAGATAACATTCATTTGGGTTTACCCATATGATACATACAACAGTCTCAGAATACTAATATTATATCAGCGTGACTATTTGAAAACATTAAAATATACATTACTTTTCCATTCTCCTCCCAGTGGCAAAGTAGTTACATTATGTTCTCAGATGATAAGCCCTTACACACTATACTTTCTCCCTTGTAGCCTCATTTAGTCTGAGCTCTATAGGTAACAAGAGAATGTTCTCCATCAGTTGCCATGTTGTCTCTCTAGTTATTTTGGACTCTAATAAACTTCCTCGGAAGTGCTTGCATGTTGAGGACAGTTTTTCCATGTTCACTGCTAGACACTGGAAGGTTGTTTTCTCTGGAAATAAAATCCTGGGCTCACCTATTTTTTCCCTTGAGTTTCTTAAATATGTTACTTCATTTTCTTTGGTATAAAAATATGATGATTAATTAATTTTCCTTTCCTACTAAGTCATGCCTTTTGTTTTTGTTTAAATAAGCAAAGAGTCTTTTCTTTTTCTTTGAAGTCCAGTAAATATACCAAGATGTCTTGGTGTTGGTCATTCTTGGTATTCTCAGGTAAGTGACATACTGTGATACATTCTTTCAGCATATAGCTGCTGCTTTTGTTCTTTTTTGGAGGAAAGTTTTCCTTGAAGTTTCATTTTTAGTATTTGTTCT